TAGTTTACTTACCACCAAGTATAATATTTAAAGTTTTCTGTAATGAACTTGCATCATATAAATCTTCTTAAACGTATCGTACTTTACTAACAGTGGCAAGATTAAGCTCCTCATTCTGATTACTTAATATATGCATTTTTTTCCCTTACTCCATTTGAGAACATTAGGATCTTCGCTCTAATTTCTTAAGTTTCAGCTTAAATCCATTCATTCCTTAAAATATTTTCAGTTTTTTTTTGCTCCCAATTTCATAATTTTCTAAGACTCGAAAATCTAAACTGACAACATACTGAACTATGTCAGCATAGTTCATATAAATACCAAAGCTTCGCGATTTGTGGATATAAGAGGATTTCAAGGCAGATAAAGTAAAACGGACAAAACCTCTCGATTTAGCCTATTTCAAGCGAAATGAAATTTATGTGCATGTACATAGTTCCAAATTTATTTGGAAATTTGCTAGTTAAACTTTTGAGCATGAGATGTGGTCACATATTAACAAGGTCTTGTACTTGTTTACCTGATACCTACGAAATTTGCTTTTTTGTAAAACTATTACTTTGCCTCGAACTTCTAATAAAAATGAATGCATTTTCTTAATACTGAATTTTTATTATAAATTTATTTATTTGCATAAATAGCGCATAAAATTTATGACTGCTGGAAGATTAAATATTATTCTCTACATATATTACTTCTATATAATTCATATATACAAACAAACCTACCCACAACATAATTTATAATGCATAAACCATACGTTTTATAATACATGTGATAAAAATCATTATATACGCATAATTATACATATTTACACCTATTGTTATGAAAAGATAAATATTTTATTAAATTATATAACAACATCATTCCATTTAATAAGCGTATATAGAGTCACAAATTTCCAATTTATATTGGTATTATTATTTCTTATCTGTAATTCTACGTGACTTATTGAACTACAATTATATAGAAATTGTATAGACAAATATATAATATATACAATCTATACATAAATTTCAATTGCAAATAGAATATAGTATAATGTATAACACATAATATCATATAAGAATTTGAATTCCCTATTATATTACACATATATATAGGGTATCTTCTATAATGTGTTTATGTTACGTTGTATAAATTATGTATAACGTATGTTAATATCCATACATGTAAATATACGTTTGTGTGTTGGATTACTGTTATATTAACATGTTGCTTACAAAATATTTACTAGAATATAGCCTTATACCGATTTCTATTATATAGAATACGTACGTAAGGGTGTATTTATAAATACCTTCTTATGTACGTATATATGCACGTATTTCATAAATTATTATAATAATTATTATATACATATACGAATATTTGCATCATAAATAAAATTATATGTATACTAATTTTTTTTTTTTGGTTAGCCTCAAGAAATTAAAAAACTATATCATGATTTCGATTTTAATTTTACAACATTTTTGAAAATAAAATAATTTTCGTAATGCTTCGAATTAACAAAATTAATTTTACATATTGAAAATTAATATGAATTCTTTTTGATAATAAATTAATAAAATTTTTCGATAAACATTCAAAAGCTGAGAAATTTCCTCCAGAATTCTCTTATCCAAGCGGTCGTCTCCTCAAAACTCGGATACAACAAAAACGCTAGTCTGCTCGAAATGCAAAAGAGCACCGCATATATGTAATTTTCAGCTATATATAAATTGCTGAATAAGTCAAATTAACGTTGAAACTGTATCTGGATGCCTCAAAGTTATGATAAGGAGTGTCTGCGTTTCGAACACCCCATATATAACAATAATCTCTGTTTAACAAGCAATTTATTTGGTTACAACTTTGCCTTTTTGTTTTTTGTTTAAGATACCTTATATTTCCAAACCTCTGGTGATCATTTAAATAAAATCATTCAAGGAATCATAATCGAATTCAACAAGTAAAATACCTTATAGCTGCCAATATATAGTCCATATAGTCAAGTAATCTTTTATTCACTCGTATATATCATTCAATATATAAATAATTTTTAGTGTGAAATTTAACATTTCATCACGAATTTCAATAATAAACCTCATACCATGTCCACTCAATATATCAATGTTTCATTCAATACCATTTTCTACCTCGTAAGTATATTTTTTATTTTTTCATTTTATATACAGAAAACGGGTGAATTATCATTATTTCTATATAAAATGGAATCAATAGACTAAAATTACGGCATAAATGAAAACTATGTAAAAGTTTATATACTTAAATATACATTTATGTATACATGTATGAAAATCTATGAAGAGGAACGCAAAAATTCCATTTTCATTAAAATTCTAAGCAAGCAAAGAAATCAACTAAATAATTTCAAAATAAAAAATTGTAAGGATAATGTAAGTATATAATATAAGCTTACATATTATATAAATACATACACAACAATGGAGTACATACAATTGCTCTATATTCAGCAATTATTTTCTTTCTCTTGAATGTGTATACAGTACAGTATTATATTCCATAAAAATAGTATGTGAAGTATTGCCTTCATACCAAAGGTTGAAATTGTAACAAATAATGGAAAAATATATACTTTTGTCCACTCCACTGCTAATCAAAATGTTATTAGCTCTTCATAAAATTTTCTAAGAGTTATAATTGTATCGAAACTACCAGCATTTTTTACATACCGCAAATACAATATAAGTACTACCTTATTCTAGCTAAATGTACCATAAATAAACGTGAATGTAACGTCATTGAAATCAAGCGTTATCTGAAATTAGGCCAGGTAGCAAATGTCTTTCTATCAAATAATTTGATAAAATATTTATCTTAACTCCATAATGCACCCTTTCTTATTCTTTCCCTAAAAGTATGCAATAATAATGAAATAATACATAGGCTTTTTATAAATCTAATGAATTCGTGCGAAAAGTACATTTTAGAGTTCTTTGTATAAGCAAATTTGTCAAAAGTATAAAGAATTTTATTGTGATTCTTGAAAATACTTCTAATAAATGTTCAATACTGCCATTCGCTATAATATAATATCAAATGCTAGCGAATTCGCTCTCTCAAAAAAACTTGACAACTTGGTGAATTCGCTGTTTTTAACTGAAAGTATTACTTGCTTACTTTATTTAATTTGTTCAAAATGTGCTTACTATATAAAAACTATTTATTTAATCCAAATTCATTTTTACACATTATGGGGCTTTTAAATAGCTAATATATTTAAAGAGAAAAATAATAAAATACGTTTGATTGTATGATGATTCACATGAAATTAATTTCTCTGATTTTTTTTCCAGAGATTTTCATGTATTATACTAAAAATAAATTTTTCTCTTATTGTCACTTGAAATTTACATGCGCGTTCCCTATGCTATTAATTTGAATAAATACGATGCAAAATAAAAAAAACTTATGCAAAAATAAAAATATAGATAAAACCAAAATATATTTATTTGAAAGCTTTCCGTCAAAAGGAAATGGGAAATAGTAAGCAAAATAGAACGACGGATGAATGTGGTTTTACTACACCAAAATATATAAGAGTGCTTGCATAAAAGTGGCTAAAAAATAATATTGTAGAGTTGCTATAGTTCCAGTAAAATTTTTAAAAATAAATATTATTATTTTATTAGATAGTTAGAAATATAGATAGTTATAGATAGTTATAGATAGTTAGAACGCATAAATTTTCACAAAATTTTAAATTATTTCTTGTTACTTTACGACAAAAAAATTATGTTTAAAATATCAATGAAATTAAACGAACTCCAAAAATAGACCTAAAATTACTTAAAATTATTTATATTGATCTATATCTAATTTATCCTAAATGCTATATTACTTCCCCACCACTATAAATACTAAATAATCTATTTCTGAACTAGAACATTATTATCATTTTTACAAGTGCAACATCTGAATCAAATATCTTGTACTCTTTGTAAAATTCCCAAGGGGGTTTCAAATCTAAATCAAATCTGGTAATCCAATTTTATTCTTCCTCAAATAAACCCAGTTTATATATTCATATATAAGCGCATATTGAATAGAATATAATATTTTTACACAATAATTATAATATTGTACCTATCTACATATATAGTGATATTTAGAGCACCAGCTTAGTACAATAACATAGTTGTAGCTACAAATAAGATAAAGTAAATGGCATGTACAGTATGCAAAAGTTAAGCTACGCAAATACACATGTAGATTACTAAAATTTATTAAATATATGCCTATGGATGTACATATATATGGATGTTATAAAACAGATGCCATTAACAAAGGAATTTTTAAAAATAAAAGTTAAATGTACATACGTATGCACAAAAAGGAAAAAAAAATATAAAAGGACCTGCCACAACATATGCTAACAATATAGGAGTATATCTACCGTATCTCCATCTTTAGTTAAAAGCAGCTTTAACTTCAACTCTTTTTGATTTTTTCTCTTTTTTGCATTTCAATTATTTCATCTTTCTAACATGATTGAAACAAAAAAAAAACAACAATAACATCGGGTAAAAATAAAAACAAAAATAAATTACTAAATGAGCGTCTTTCTCTTAACAAAGCAAAGCTAAGATAGGAGGTACATATACATATATGTACAAATAGGTTTTCTAAAAAAACTTCATTATTTTGCAATTGGCTGTAATCCGATTAATAAAATATAGTAAGCATATGTAGGTGACAAACTAAATATTTTAAAAATGCCGCTCTTCTATATAGCCGTACTCAATAAGAAGCTATCTAATTTACAAATTATGTAAATGCAAGATTTCTGAGAAATTTATGTTCAAAGTTTGGATTTGAGTTTCGAGTTCGGTTCGGACTTAAGTTCAGATGCAAATTCCAAATGTTGACCCACAAATCATACGAAATCTTAATCAAATTTTTTACAAAACTTCTCTTAAGAAATATGAGCCTATATAAAACTCCAAAATGATTTTAATAGTCTTGTATGCAATCATTTGTAAACAATTTAATTTATTCAAATTTAATAATTATTATAATTATTATTTTAAAATTTAATTTTTTATTTATTGTTTGTCATCAAATTTTATTTTAATTTTTAAACCAAATCAAAATCAATTTTTGCTCCCATCTTTTGTAATGCTATAATTGTATTAACTGCTTTTATCCACCGTTTTCTAATAACGAATTTCTTTAATTTTGCTTTTGTTGTTGATAGAGCTGTTGTCTGTTTTGGTGATTTCTTTAACCATGTATGCTCTAGACATTGTGCTGCTGTAAGACGTTTTCTAAAAAAAAAAATATTAAAAATGCATTAATTTAATTAAAAAAAAAAAAATATTATTATTATTCAGTTATTTACTTTCCATCCATTACTAATAAAGATTTTATAAAATCTTTTGCATCTTGTGATATATTATTAAAGGCTTCATCATCAAAATCATATTTTCCTACAGTAACTTTTGTCATTGATTCTAAATCTGTATCACCATAAAATGGAGAAATTCCAGATAATCTAAAATAATAAATAGTTATTTTTAAAGCTAAACAAATAAATTTTATATATAGTACAATAAATAACATATTGATCCTAAACTCCACATATCAGTATAAAAGGAAATTTCATCAAAATTAACTACTTCCGGTGCTGTAAATTCAGGTGTACCAAATAAAACTTTTAATTTTTTCGCTGGGTCAAAACGTCTTGCCATACCAAAATCAATTAATTTAATTCTATTACCAGTTTTTGTTAAACAAAGAATATTTTCTGGTTTTAAATCCAAATGTATTATACTCTGACTATGAATATAACCAACACCATCGCATATTTGTCGCATAAAAGCAACACATGCTTTCTCTGTTAAAACAAAATCTTCATCAATAACACGTTCGAATAATTCTCCACCTGAAATTCTTTTTAAATAAAAAAAAAAGTTTTTCTTTGTTATTACCGACTTATAAGTGTAAAAAGTGCAAAAAAATTGTGAATAATTCAATAAGCACAAAAATTTTTTATGAATTAAATAAATGTAAGCAAAAATATCATTAAAAAAATTAATAAAGCCAATTTAAACTAAAAATCCAAAATAAATTTCCAAAAATGGAGTTGAACTTTTTACTATAACCCTTTATGAGGTTGAGTTTTTCAAGACATCTTATAGGGACAAACTTACATGTAGATATAAATTGATTTTTGTGAATTTTGTCTGGACTCATTTATTGATGATTTACTGATATTGTTGGTCTTTTTTCAACATTTCATGTTTAATAATAATCTCAGTAAATGAAAATAAATGTTCAATAAGTTTGTGCCTTTGTTTCATATACATAACTTAATATTCATAACATCGTTAAGTACTATAGAGTTTCTAATGAATTTAAAAACAAAAATCTGCAATAAATCGATTCCGCAAATGAATTTTTTTTTATTTATATTAAAAAAAATACTTCTGGCACAATCTAAAATAAATTATTTAAAAATAAATAATAATTTATTGCCACATGTTTCATTTTCATGTTCGAGAACAATTTTCCAATTAAAAACAAAGTACATAATAAGAAAAGGAAAATAAATTATTAATAATCAGATTTGATTTGAAAGAATTTTTTACTCTTTCATTTTCTTAATATCCTTTGAGATTTAGAAGTTGTATACATATGTATGTATGAAACTATAAAGGTATATACTCCGACAATGTTCTCTAATCATTAAAATATAGTGCTGGCTATCATATATTTAGAATTTCTTACAATCATTACAATTCCATGTAAAGTATACCATATAATTATTACTGTAATACGCAAAAGGATATAAAGATAAAGCTAACAACAAGGATAAATAAATTTTGATTTAGTTATAATTTTAGAATACTATGAGGTGTATATGACTTATTTAATCAGTTTTTGAAATATCTTTGGAAGCTCTGATTCAATGATTTCTGAATTTGATTTTTGTTTATTTTTTTTAAATTTTGTTATCTCAAATCTCTATTATGCCGCAATATGACCGATATAGCTTCTTTATCTCGATATCATTTTGTTAATATAAAAGCTCTCCAACTAAATTTTATTATTTATTTATTTATTTATTAAAAGGATTTCATGGGCCTTTATATCACTTTTGAATTTTATCAGGCCCTGTTAATTAATACTAAATTTTATTGATTTTCTAGTTGAGTCACTCTATTACATTCAATAATTTTGCTTCCTTAAAACAAAGTGTCAAATCCACAGTATTTTAGTGTAAATTCATTTTAATATTTGAGCAGTTATTTCAACCTGTATATAATAGTTTATTATAGTTTATCTAATTTCAGATAACGATTTGGAATAATATGCATATTTGTTTTTCAATATATTTAATTAATTGAAACGCACGGAAGACATATTTGGATGAATAAGATCGAGAAATACTCGACTTAGTCGATTAAGTACAAATCTAGTCTTTTTGTTAAAATAAATCAAAATTCATATAACAGTTTTTAACCAATATTTTACACATTGTTTTAAAACAAAAACAACACGAATAATTCTCATAAAATACTTAAAACACTTAACAAAATAAATATTTTCTGTTTTTTATTATAAAAGACCGGAAATACAAAAATACATATACAAGCGATTATAAAGAAATTCCATTAAATACTGTTATAATGAAGCAAACATTTAAAATAATGTTACTTGGCTTAAATGTTTTTTACATTCCATAATGTAATACGTGAATAAACAGAAATTAATAGATAGTTCTAGCTCATGCTAATGTAATTTTCATAATGTCTAATTACCAAAATTTACATAATACACTTACATATAAATGTAGGGTCCTATATATATATATATATACAAATGGTTATACTTACAATTCTAACATCACACAAATTGTTTTGCCATTATCAAACGCATCATATAATTGAATTATTCTGGGATGATGCAAACAGGACATAATATCAATTTCATTTTCCATATTGCGCCTTTCCTCTTTATTTTTAACATGAACATATTTGGCTGCGAATTCATGACCTGATGATTTTTCACGACATAAATATACTGTACCATATGATCCTCTAAGTGGAACATCATTAAAAAGAATTAATGGTAATAAAGTAAAAGGAATTAAGGTATTTATATTTTATATATATTTAATAGAACATAACAAAAAAAAACAATTTTGTTATTGTCCTTTTTTTGGTAATAAGTAAGTATATGTATGGGTTTAATAAAAATTATACCTTCCCAGCTCTTCGTCTTTTATTATATCATAGTCAGTTTTTGGGTCAACATTATGTTTCACCTTAACATCTCTATATGGAATTAAAATATCATCTAAAACGGGGAGAAAAAAAATAAAAAATATTAATGATGAAAAATAAATTTTCTATATATTATAGACTGAAAAAGGATAAATAAAATTGCTGTTATGTAATAAAAATTTGAGGGTAACGTGGTTGTTCTATATATATATATATATATATATATATTATTTATAAAAATTATATGTTTATATTTGTACATATACATGTACATATTATGGGCATATTTGCGAATTACCATGAAAATTAAAAACAGCTTTTAATTCAAATATACAACAGAAACCTGCCCGAATATTATGCAATCACATAGACTGAGAGCAGTCCCAAACTATATCGTATTTTATATTTAAGTGAAATATCTTGAAATTATTTTTCACAAAATTAAAATTCACCAATAAGTTATTAAACAAATAAATTTTTTAAAATAAAAAATACTCAATAAAATTTTCTCTTTTAATTTAGTGTAATATCGAGAATCATCAGATCACATTATCGTTTCGACCATTTCTTTCACATACCCAAATATGGCGGTTAATTGGAACATACTTTATGGTTCTGCAATGATTAACTGTTTTTAACAGAGTTTTTTTCTTTTAGGTGGAAGGTCATTAAATGCTCATTTTTGCTCATTAGGGTGCAAATATAGTCACAGAAACAAGAACAAAGGCCGAATTCGTTAGAACTTCTTCAATATGTTAATTGACTATGGCCATGATCAAGATGAGACTAGAAGGCTGACTAGTGTTCAAATACAGCAAACACTGTTTGAATACGGTATAGTGCCTGTACATTGTGCACTGTTGAGTACAGTATGGATAAGAAAAGGACTATAACGAACTTTCTTTCCAAATCCCTGTGAACAAACATCTTCATCCTATGGGAAAGTCGTGGACCTAGCTTCGCAGATTCTATGGTGCATAGGATGAGGCAGTGCTTTACATTTCATGAACATACTAGCTAGGAAGAGGCACATAGGTTAGAATCATCTGGACGCTTGGGATGTTGTGACCAACTCATTGCGCAACATGTCCAAGTTGCTTATTACAGTACGTCAAACTGGCAATATCAAACCCGGGAATAAATCTATAATTTAAAATTAACGGCAAACTTAAACACGATTCATAATCTGAGTGAGCTTCAGATATTCATTCTTAAATGGCGAACCTGTTTGTATCTTTATTTCAGTTATATAAGATGATTAGATACACTATTGATTCTCCTACTTTCATTTAATTTATATAAAAATATGAATTTTACACTTTTTTTAGCGGATTTTATATACATAAAAATTCTACAAATATCCTCGCACTATTTTGCTGTAATAAGATCCTGAGACGTCAAGAATAAAGCTGTTTTAGTGGCTATCGACGATATTAGTGAATAATAAATCACCCACATACATATATACAAATGTATCTACATATACATTCATTAAATATTGAATTCTATATAAACTGTTTAGAAAAAGCAAAAAAAAAAATAACATCAAACACAAGAAAAACATCAAAGATATTTCAAGATAAAGGTCATAATATTATTTTCCAAATATTAATTATGACTATAAAAAAAAAATAACATATTTTGGACTACTTTATAGCTTCTTTTTAATTATTATTTTGTTTATTTTATTATAATATAAATTTAATAGTTAAATGAATGGTTTGCCAATGAATATTATATACAGTATGTTAAGGAAGTCAAAATATTCATTTCAGAAACTTTTTAATGTTCTTATACAATAAAGTTTTATTCCGCATTCTTCTTTAAATATATTATGTATGTTTATATTTATACAATTTGTGGCTATAAATCTTTACAGAAAATTTTGTTTTTGTTGAAAAATACATAATCACCATAAACAAATAAACAATTATATACATATATATTATGCCGCCAATCCTTTTTATGTAATATCCGTTGTAAATTTTATTATAGTCTTTTTATAAATTGTTCTATAAAAATTTTATTGTCAGTCTGTTACATTTGGGAAAATACATATATATTTTAATATTGATGCTATAAAAGTATGTATTTTATCATTACAAATTGTAATTTTATTAATCATTATTTTAATCTAACACAGAACTATTAGATTTAAGATTTAATCAACTTATTCCTCACAAATAATCTAGTAGTTATTATTATATCACTTAAATTCAAAATAAGTAAATAACATGAAACATCCAAGCTAGGGTTAATTAAAGTATGTAAGAGAAAATTTAAAATAAGCTAATGAAGTAGTTAATTGTATATGAACTACGTTACAATTCGTGAATATACTCACTCACACTGCCTCCCGATGGTCTATCTATCTGAATAAGATGGGCAAAGGGAATTCCTCTTCTTAGAAGAGGCCGAAACGATAGAGCACTTATTATGTGAATGTGAGTCTCGCTTTCGATTGAGATACATTAGGAAGGGCCTTGTGACCATAATAGAAGTCTCGCGGCTTAGGGTAGCTGCAATACTGCAATTTGTTAGAGAATTTGTTAGAGGATCATGAAAGATCTTATGTGTCGACATGAAAAGGACCGAAAAACCTCGGTCCCCTACAGGGAAAAACGTGAACTGCTTTATAACTTGAAAGGGATATTTAATTATTTATTAATTGGATTGATCAAAATAAAAAATTAACTACTATAGTTTTATTAATGTAGTTAGTAATCTAATTCCTCCTTAACATTGTACCACCTTATAATTGAACATATTGTATTAGCTACATACATACAATTTTAAATAATTTTATTTAAAAGATACGGCCATCTAACTATAAAGATAATTCAAATATTTAATATTTAATTTTATCATACTTTATAGCGCATAAAGTCCTATAATGATTTTCATCAAAGTACTCAAAATTTCATAATGAAACAAAATCAAATGTCCGCACTTATGCATTGGCATAAAAGTCCACCATCTCATAATATATGTAAGTACATATACAACACATAACATGTGTAAAACATAAAAGACTTAGTATGTACTTAAAAGGATTTGAAAAAAGTAAAAAAATAAAAATTTATTTTTAAATGTATGAAGAACGGAATACACATAAAACACCATTATATATGAACATACACAGGAACTAAATGAATTTTCTATGAACACATTTCAATAATGTTCATCACTTAACTTTAGATTTCCTTATAAATTCTTACTAATAGAATTATACAAACGAAACATTTTTATTTAATGAAATAAAAAAAAAAGGAATTAATGTCTCCTTTTGGGTTTTGGGTTGGTTTTTTAATACAGATTTGAAAATATTATAAAAATTGAAATTAAAATGCAAAAGTAAATAAAATTTTAATCAAAATGTTACGTAAAATAATTAGAATTATATTAATGTTATTATTTCAGAATATAGTATGTATTTAAAATTAAAAGACGATTTTAATTAACCTTGCCCTTTTATGATTTACATAAATGCAGTGAACATATTTTGGAAATAAATAAGGACAATTTGTTATTAGCTTCAAGTACAATTTATTATTTTTAAGACAAGAAAATAGTATTATCGTGTAAAATACGTATGTATGTACAAAGCCAAAAATCATATGAAAATTCCGCATTAAAATTTGAAATAATTAAGAAAATAATTAACGCCCCCTTACTCGCTACCAAAAATTTAAGAAAATTTTCGCAATATAAGAACTTATTTCAATATTATTTGATTTGAGTCTTATTTGAAAGAAGTGAATTACAAATACATCCATAAGTAGCTTCTTTTTTGAAGATATTAAATTTTGATTAACATCGAAAATCGGGCTCACAATTCACAATCAAAAATTTCCTTCAAAATTGCCATTGATTAAAAAAAAATCCTAAAAAATCATTCTAATATATAAAAGCATATTTAGAATAACATTTTATTCTAAGAAACATATTTTACTTGGACAGAATTTCCTTATATAAAATTTTGTAGTTAAACACTTTTATTCGAGAATAGTGCATGTAATTTACTATAATCTGAACAATGTACATATATAAACTAAAATTATATATAATTTTTTCTCTCCCCTATTCTCTTAAAATTTCGTATTTCATCTTGCTCTAAATTCACAAAATTTTTCTAAAAAGAAAATAAATAAAAAAAAAAACATACATAATTACATTATACAACATTTCAATGAAACATTTCCGTAAATAATTAAAGGCGCTTACAAATTCTTACAAAAATAAAATGCATATACTGGCAACAACATACAATTATATTTTTTAAAACTATTTATAATATTATATAGATATTAATGTATATGTATAGGTATATATGAACACCACCATGAAAGTGTATATTGATTCCAAATTTCTTTACAACAATTCATTTTTAAATTTTTATGAATGAATCTCACTCACTTAAGCTATACTATAATATATGAATAGGTATTTCCATTTGTATAACATTCTATAAACATGTAATACCATATACACTTGTATGTATGCATGTATATTAATGTGTATATTAGCAAATGTATATTCATTTATTTTCCTTTTTGTATATATAGTTATAATACAAATTTTCTATTTGCCAAATACAGAAAACACCTGTTGAATTTATTTTCTGAGGAAACCATATTTCAATATATATCTGTTTATAAGTATATTTATGCGTTATATATTACTGTATTTGCATATACATACATGTATATCTTTCATGTTAAATGTTATATTTTTACATTTTGCTTAACGATTTTATTACCACAAAAATTTGTTTACAAGAAAAATTAATTAAAAGAAAAATAGATAATATACATACACATAAAAATAGATAATATATATACATAAGTACATATATACATATATATGTATGTATGTACTTATGCATATATGTATTTATATTAAAATTTTAATTTTAATTTTGCTTAAAAGCAGAAAAATTTATAAATACAAAAATGCTATAAGAATTCAAAAAATTACATTTTAATTATTAATACAGTTTTCTTTTTTTCTCTAAAATAATTATCATTAATTACTGGATTATTTTTAGCAGATTTCAAAATAAAGAAAAAAATT